GTAATAACGTAGTGGTCACGGGAGATCATCAGGTAAGCCATTTCCATGTGATAGTTGCCATTCTAGGCAGATGAAACAATTTTAGTTCGAAATATGTTGACTTTAATTACTTGTAGCCGGTCGCGTACTAATTCGGGCTCATCAGCCGCATCGGGTGATGAAGAGAAGAAAAATGGCAGTGTTGACGGTAATGAGCGCTCAGGAGTAGCGACGGTTGGGGCTGATAGCCATAAAAAAGCAAAGAATGGCGATGAACATATTGGAAGCGCAGTTACCGCGAATAACACAAGAAATGTTCATCTTTCAAATATTTCAAAATTTTTGGTGTTTGAATAGAGGAAAAATAAATTTGTTACAAATGCTGGTTAACCTTGGACTTTCTCCATCCCCCCCCCCCCACCCCTTTCCCTTTGATTCGTAAATCTCATTTAATAAAAAAAGGAGCGTCGGTTGGAGGGAAAATAAAATGCAATGGACGTTTGATTTCTTTCCTCGTGGATTTTTTTTTCTTGTACTTCGAAGTAATATGAATCAACTAGTATGGCACTGAAGACATCTGCTTATCAAGCATATGTTCAATTTTGATCAGTCAGCATGCTTTGCATTGGTCTTTTCTGATTTTTCAATATTTTAAAGGAAAAAAAAAACACATTCGTTTGATCATCGAATGTTTTATCTTGCTAACTTTTATTTCTTTTAATTGAAATTTTAGAATCGCAAGCGTACATCTGGTGCAAACGAAGACAACGAAAAGAATGGTGACGATTCAGAGACAAGCAATGACGATGTTACGCCGGAACTGAAGAAGAAGAAGAGTGATACAGAGGAGGTTGGATTTTTCGCTTCTTGCTATTAAATAAAATTCATGAATACATAATAAATCTGCTATATAAGGGTTTGTACACTGGAAAGCAATTAATAAAAAAAAATGAATTAAGTATTTACTGTATAAGCTCCAGTTTACATCTCGATATGTTATGGCATGCTTTGTAAATTAGCTGGAATTTTTTAAATCTCATGTCAAGAATCATAAAAAAGAAATGATTTATTTATTAACAATATTAGGAATTGTTTTGGGAAGCGTCTTTAGTGATTGTTAACGTTTGCTATCTTCAACTTTTGAACATAGTTTGAAATTTTTGAGTAGTATGAAGCTCTTACTGTTCAGGAAATTTACTGAATATAGTTTAATCCAAACTTAAACCTGATTTCCTTCGCAAAATTGCTGATCCACTTTCTCTGCTTTAGACTGAAACGACAGAAGTCGACTCTACTGCAACAGTTGGTGCTGAATGAGCTGTTTATTATATTCGTTTGGTTGGTCGGTTTAAAAAACAAAGGAAGAAAATGGAGCAAAGTCTTTTTACTGTAATCTCTTTTGTTGTTGCACACACCTCAAATGCTATTCTTTTTATTCAGTGAATTTTCTAAATTCCGTTTGCAACCTGTCAGCAGTTGGTTTAATTTATTCGATCCAATGTCTTGGCTGAAAACAATGTTTAACAGTATCTTTTCACCTTCAATGAAATTCCTATACAACGATGTTTTTTTGCTTTAAATTTCAATTTTTCAAACTTAGTTCTTACTGTTCCACAATCTAATAATCCACATTCATTGTTTACTCATGAAATTCCTATACCTATTCAATTAACTTTTGCTCGGACGTGACTTTTTTATTGACACATCGTCTTTAATATTCAAAAAAGTGCGTGGTTTATCCTGTAGTTCTTAAGTTCATGGTGTAATGTTCATTTTACTTCTTTTATTTTAATGTTGTCCTTATGTACTTGTTATAGTAGGAAGCCAAGTCATTGTTGTTGCTGTTTTTTATAATTGATTTGGAAGTTTATTTTCAGTTGTGGATTTTCTTACCATTATGTAGGATAAGTTGCAGTTGATTAATTTTCCCTTTCCAGAATCTGAAGAACAGATTACTGGTAATGCACGAATCAGTTATGCTTTTTTTTCAACTGTATTTGTCAGTTTTTTAGACTCGGAATTTAAAAGTTTGGAATTTAAATCATGTTGTTTTGCATATCGTCATAAATAAATAAATGTCCACCGTCGTGTTCATTTGTGTACTGTTAGTGGGGAACTTATTCTTTCTTTCTTTGTGCAAGATTTGATAAAGAAGGACAGATCTGAAGGAAAGAAAAAGGTAGACTCGATGACAGTAAACCTGGATCGTTATTCAGCGTTCCCTTGGGAAAGTCGGGGTAGCAATGTGATGTTTGGCTTCAGTGGCTCCAATTTGGTACGTTACAACCAAACATGATCGGTCGTTGTATTGGGGTCATTAGTGTTTGTGATTGATTTCTTGAGTTTATAAGAGTGGTTGTGATTCGTGTTTGTATTGACTTTACACATCTTCCGAGAATCGTGATTTGACTTTCTTTTATTGTTCGTTTAATTCAAGAACTGAATGAAATGTAGGAAATTGTTTTTTGATATCCTCATCCGTAACATCATCCTTTGTAATGTCAATGCACTCCTCCCCCAATAAAGTACTGAGATTTCAGGATTGCTCTGGAATCAGTAGGCATATTTCAGGTTAAAAGTACAATCAATGCGATACACCATTGTTTGCGATGTGGTACCACTTCTTCTGACCGATCATTATTTTGCATTTTGGTATTGATTTCAGAAATATTATTAAAATGATCGAGCACTGAATGCAAAGCAGCTTATAATGGTAGCAAAGTTCTGAAGAAGAAGGAAACAACTAGTCGGGTTTTCAGATTTTCTGGAAGTCCATACCGTTTCAATCTATATTCCTTTCTTGTCCTATTCATTTCCCATTTACCGGATAATTGTCCACTTGTCTCAACACTTATTTCTTCTACCAGCCCATATCTCATATCACTAAATTTATCCATCATTTCATTATGAACATGATAATACTTCAAGCATTAAATTTTCGTTTGAGTAGACCAATAATATTTAATTAAAAAATACAGGTAAACAACAAATTTACATGTAATGTCTATGGTGATAAATTGATAACAAACAATGCTAGTTATTAGAGAAATACTTTAATGATTATAGTCTTTCCTTTAATTTCATTCTAACAGTTTTTCAACAAAATTTCGGCGAATAGATCATTCCTGAAAATCATTTTGATCCACTTTTTTTTTTTCAAATTTTGATTGATTATCACATATGTCTTTTATCTTTTAGATACAAAATATCAATTGAATTGTTATAATAACATTTAATATTTATAAATGGCACTCATTTTTAAGGGAAAAATTAGAAAACACCAAAACGCTAAGATTTTACACACAACGAGTTATTTAATTAAAAATTTAAGCAATCTGGAATGAAGAAACTTTCTTATTTTTAGAAGGATTCAATTTGAATATTAAAATTTCAAATTTATGGACTAAAGTTTACATGCATAGAATCAGGAGGATATGCATAGCACAGTAATGTCGCATCAAAAAGTAACGAAGTTACGTATGATTAGGTGGGTTTATTCTTTTTAATTTTTCGATCAGCGCAAAAGAAACTCAACAAACGTATGAGACTGTTGACAAATGATGCCAGCTGAATCATTCACTGTCAAACATAGAAACGAGCCTCACATTTATGATGACAATTTTTAGGTTTATAGACCTATTAATGCTAGATAATATGATGACGAATGCAATCAGGATCTGTTTTATGTCGGGAATGGCAATAATTAACTTGACAATGTTTATGATAGTTCAGCATTTCTCAGTTAGCACAAAGTTATCTTTTCGTTTTTAATTCTGAATTTTAATCAAACTTTAAAACTGAAAAACCCATCCAAGCAAATGGAACAATTGTTCAAAAATATGCCTCATAAACAATTTATATATGTATGGTTAAAATTTAAAGCAAACATTTGCAGATTTTGAAATTCAACGAAAGATTGAATTTTAAAATTTCCATATTCATGTTAAACTTGTTACTGATAACTGATAAATAGTTCTTTTGATTAGCAGAGACAATCTGTGGTAGTTTTATTGGATTTTCAATGTGATCCTTTTTCAGTGCCACCAAGAAATTCCGTCACAGAGAAAAAAGTGAGGAAAGTAGGAAGCAAAATATGGCATTTAGAGAAGACATCCTAAAAATTCTTTCAATAATTTAAAAAGACACTTTATTTCTTTCATTGAAATGGTCTTTAGAGAAGTATGTATGAAGTGGATTTCAATTTCATGAAGTGTTTCTTGCTGTATGTAACAAAAAAAAAAAGGAAAACGCATATTTGATGAAAGTTTCAGAAATTATCTTTGTCATTAGCTTATGGTAAATTAATTATCACATAATTAATTCACAATTAATTTAGGAGTAGTAACAGATTAGTCGGATAACTGAACATATCAGACTAAAATAATCTTGATCATAGGATTGCTTTTAAAGTAGCCAAGAATAATATCCTTTAGTCAAGAAGTATTCGGAGCAAACAAGTGTATATAACTTTTCGCTTGCCATTATTAAGAAAAAACTTGACAATCTTCTGGCAATATTTTAAATTGACAATTATTAATTATTGATCGCTTTGGTAAATGTAATAGTATAATTAAATGAATTTTGATAATCTTAGTCAGTACGATGGAAAAGCTGGCATTTTAATCGTTGCTTAAATGTCGTTGACAAAGCCAGATGGTTGCACATCGTATGACAATGTGTTTGTGAAGAAAATTGTTCAAAAAGTTTTTGAAAAAGTGTTTGCTAATATATATGCTAAAAGTAATGCTATAAAATTCAGATTCAGATTCAGAAATTGTTTATTTTTACATTTAACTGACCGATTGTGTTTTCACTGAGTTCGACGATAAACCTTTCTATGACGGGCCAGCCTTGAATGGCCAATTGTAAAATTGGCCCGATTAGATACATGATGAAGCTGAATGACGCCAACGAGCCAAAAAAGTGGACTCTGCACTTGAGCTGGACAAATATTAAAGAAGAAGTAAAGATTTCAGAAATGGTAGAAATTAGGATTACTCCCACACATATCGGTGTTTTATGGCGAACAATTTTTTTGATTTCCTAACATTGATAATTTCCATCACTGGTGACAAAATAACAAAATTAGTGGAAGTATTCAAAAGAAATTAGGGTGACATCAAATGGCAGAATATCGATATATTGAGTGAAGTTATAGTGGAAAAAGGGAATGAATGTAATTCAGTTGCAATCAGATAAACAAACTAAATTTAATTCTTGGGAGGAAAAGTTAATTTTGTTGAATTTCGCTTTCAAATTATCAAATTTTAAATCAGCAGAAAAAAAAATCTCCGAAATCTCTTAATGACGGAACAAACCACAAAATGTATGCAGTAGGAGATGTCATCTGAAAATACTAAATGGTCAAATGAGCTCTCTATTCTTGTAAAATTTTATTTTTTAATTCAGCAAAATTTGTACCTGTGATAATCTGGCCTTAGTTTTGAGCTTCCTTGAAATGATACAAGACTTCTACTTCAAGTTTGAATTGTAATCAGTTTTGCACCTGTGATAACAAAGCACAGTCACGGATGGAAATTGATAAAGGTAACTTACCTATATTCTGATAACCGTAATGATAATTAGTAAATGCTTTGCAATGTGAATATTTTGCAGCATAATGTACAAGTAAATTGAAGTCTACAAATAGTCAGAAATTTAAACTTTTTGAAAAAATTGTACATGGGAAGCTAAAGCTTCGTAAATAGTGACAAAATAATTTGACAACTGATAGCTTGGGTCAACATCAGAAGGTCATTTTTGAGTTACTGGTAGCTAATAAAGAATCAGAAGGAACTACAAATTCAGGTTATTAATTTCGACGCTAGCTTACTAGAATTAGATTTATGTTAGTTAAGATATTTCAGTGTAATATTTCAAAATTAAATCTT